TAGGCAAGGGTCGAGGAGGAGTTTTCGCCGCGACAATCATGGCCGGATTAGGTGTATGTATAAAGACAGAGCTGCTGGAAGAGGGTGTCAGAGGGGTTGAAACAGGTCAAACGGGGGGAGGGGGCCAAGATAGACGTCTGCACGGGGGTGAAACATAAATGATATTCCATGAGGAGCATATGCGTACGGAGATGACTCCACCTCCGCGGCGTTATGCGGCGAGGGTGGTCGCCACCCCCTGGCAGCGGGGTGCTGGTTTATTACAAACAAGGATTACCCGGGTAATGGGACATTCTGCCCCCTGTTCGACTGCTCGACAGTGAGAACGAACCGTGCACTGACTCACGCTTTCGCTTCTTGTCGAAGGACGGTGTTCGAAGGGGGTGAGGCGGTGGGCGAAGATCGCTTGCCAAGATCTCGGTGACGATGCATTACGATGCCGCGAGATATCTGGTGGACAAATTTGCCGACACGTTGTGGATATTGACGATACGATCTCGAGGGTGTCGAGAGTTCGGGGTGATTATATATCGCCATGATTTTTCAAAATAATTATAGGGATACGTGTTTGACACGTTCAATGGTGAATATGAAAATAGAAAATTATTTATATATATTTTTTAAATTATTTAACGCGTGGTTATCACAGTGATTTTCGAGAGTTTTAGAATGGTTATAAGAAAGATGATTGTTCAACACGTTCAATGACGATACACCGATAATTTTTTTATAAAATATATATTTCTATATTTTTATAAAATACTGCATAATATGTTATATTTTATTTGCATAATATTACTGGTAAAATTTCATGATATTTTATTTGAGGCCCATAATTATTGTGCGTATTTGTTTTGTACGAAGACTTCTCATCTGTATCAGAATAATTTTTTTTTTTTAATTTCATAAAAAGAAAGAAGGATTTATTATCATTGATACTTTACCTGATATAATAAATATATTCCATTCCAGCAAAATTGTTTTCTGCAATGTATTTTTATCAAAATGCTAAAAATAAAAAAATTGTTTAATAACAAAATGATACAACGTGATTAGATAGATAAATCTTTTCAAAGATTGTATTAACATAAAATTATTTTTTCTTTTTTTATATCTAGTAACTTTTTATGACATCTTAGAAAATAATATATATACATAGGAGAAAATAAATCAAATTAAAAAAGAAAAATATATTAAATAAAAACTAAGAAAAATAAAAAATACATAAAACATGTTTAATATCACTGAGAAAAGAAAAAAAGAGGAGAAAGTGTTTGAAACAATTAAGCAATTATTCTAATTGATAAAACGTGTCAAAATGACAGAGTATTCATAAACAGAGAATTCGCGATTGGCTATGATAATCATAAAATCGTTGATTTAATTTCCTCAAATACAATTGTTAGCAGAGCTTTGCTTGCTAGGCTTTCATCTCAAACACTGATATAGATCCATGTTTAAATATTGTTTAAGTACTGTAAAAAGTTCCGTCGATTTTGCGACTGTATCCGGGATTAGATTGAACTGAGTGAGGTGCGGTGATATTTAATTTCACGCTACTCGGATGGACTCGTCTCTCTGGCACAGGGCCATAATAACACTCCGCTTCTTTCACGAACAAGGTCACTGGCTCTTTCATCTCCTCAGGGATGTCCGGCTCTCTGTAAATCTTAATTAATCAGAAGCAAATACGTATTTTAAATTATTTGTTCGATCGAAACAACGAGGAATTGGAAATTTCATCGACGAAAATATTTTATATACGATAAACAGTGGAAATAAAATTATCCCCAATATTTATATTACCTCGACTTTATTCTTTAAAACACGCCACGTTTTCTTTCCTAACGTTTCTGGTTGCACAGGGATATAGGATTTCGGCACGAGAGTGTCTTTGCTATGAATGTACACGGTCGAAAGTGCCAAATCCAAAGAGTCCTCCGGTACCTGTAACGTTTATTCAAATATCGTACGAATTTTAATTTTTCCCTCCCCGAAACGATACATAGCGTTCAATGTAATTAAATTAAATTAAAGAGATTCGTCTTAGACGATATTTAGATTTAGAAAATTTTAATCGTAATAATAAAAACGAACGATTACCTCTTTTCTCTGAAGTCTACAATCTTTTCTTATACTGGTTAACGTGTGATGCGCAAAGAGACGCTCGTACACGTTTAACTTTCTACTCCATTCCAGATCCTTTGGCGAAACTTTACTACCTAGTACGGGCTTCTTCGTCCACACACCTTCGCGAGGGTATAAATCCGGTAGGGGATAAGGATTTCGAACATAACTGAGTTCTGCCATTTCGATATGACCTGTAATTACATACGCCTTTGTTTTTTTTCTTTTCTTTTCTCTTTTCTTTGTATAATAAAACGTGTACAATATAAAATAAATTATAAAATGATCAATTATCGTATATATATTACGTTATACGATAAATTGATACATTTAAAAATCTATATAAAATAAACAATATTTACCATCGATGTGAATTACGATACGGAATTTTATTAACTATATTGCATTCGTTAACTCGACAACTTCAATGGAAAGTTGTATAATCGGGATTAAACATCATTTTATTTTCCTCTTATATATATTTATTTATACGAAATCTATATATATATATCTATAACACGAAATGTTATATATAACATAAATGTTATAGTCACGTTAGAGGATAATATACCTGGATCGGGAAAAATAAAAGGAATTTCGTAATGGAACAAGGTCGGTTGGTTGCGTGTTTTGCTCAGGAGGTGGCCGTCCATGACCAACGTCGACGTACGATATTAAACCCGCAGTAATTTATGTTAGCACGAGCGTGCATAATGCTGTTTGTATAAAGCGGCACCGGCACGTGTCGGCTCGTGCCATCGCCACGTATCACTCCTCCCTCAATTTTTGCCAGACAGCGTGAACATGTTATGCGATTTTAAATATTTCCTCGATTATCCGATTAAAGGATGAGATGAGTTCCGTTTCGTTGATTGACATTCCGATTTACCGTGAAATTTTTCATTTTCTTTCTTTATAGTATTTTAACGAAAATCGAGTTAAGATTTCGAGACGCGACTCCTCATTTTAAGGATCGTGATCGTGTATCGTGATCGGTGCGATGTAAATGCGAGTAAACGAAGAATTTTGTTGAAAGTTATGCACGAAATTGGTTCGTATCGAGGACTATCGTACCCTTCGTAGACAGATTCGTATCGTATATAACACGTGTAAAAGTTTTTTGTTTCAAAATTGTTCATCATCGCGGAGATGAGTGGAAATAATTGGCGCGCGAACAGCAAACAGCTGACTGCCGGATCTAAAAGAGGAAAGGCGGTGTATGAATGGCGGGCATTCGGGGGAAATCTCGGTTAAATTTCACAATAAGCTCTTTCACGACTCCTAAACGTGAAAGCGCTTGTAAGCGACTTTGGGGAGCCTTACGAGACGCCCTTGGAAAACAGCCTGAGCGACTGTAAAGGCGAGAATGAACGAAGGAAGGAAGGAAAGGGAATGGAACGGCCTCGATAAGTGGACACTGGTGTGGAATGATGGGATGCAGACCGCCCGCATGAATTAAACCAGCCCGTTTATGAATGGATCTGGATCAGAATCGGAATTTTTCGTGTTCGAGTGAACGTGGCCGATCCGCTTCGCTCGAACTTCTCATCTCTCCGGACAGGACGTATCGAATACCGGATGTTAATCCTTGACCGTTGGAGGATGAAGAAAAAGGAGATGAGAATGATTTCCAAGATGCCCAGAATTTTTACGACATTCTTTTACGTTGTTTTTTTAACGCGCCATCGGAATTTCGAACTTTTCTAAAAAAAAAATAAAATATGAAATACGAAAAAGAATTTTGAATTTTCTTTATTTTTTTTTCCTTCACTTATGAAAAATCAATGATTCTTGATTTCATTCTTGATTCAATGATTCTTTTCCCTATAGGATCTTTCTCTTTATAGAAACGTGTTTAAACGTATAGAACGATATAACACTTTCTACGAAAACTTCCTTCATAGAGATGGATAATCTGTATACACGAGACGAGAAAAGATCGTTTCGCGCGTCATTGGTCGCACGCACGCACGGAGCATCATCCACGAAGCTGTTCTTGAACCAGGTCCAGGCTAGGGTACAGGAACCGACACGCGTAATCGCGTAATCGCATAATCGTGGCGCGTGCTGAAGTTCGGGTTGCGGGAGCTTTGCGTACGTCTACATCGGCGCACGTGCGACATTCAACGCGTTGAATCAACAACGATCGCGAATCACGAACGTAGCCGTGAATACGGGCGGCAAACCCTTGCCAACCGTTTTACGAGATAATTGTTCCGACGAGCTGATCTCCGGTAATAATGTACGAGCAGATAACACACGGCCGCCACCCATTTAAATCAAAGAATCGAAACACCTGAATTATCGTCCGATGAGCTTCGAAACGTCATCCCCCAATGATTATACGATATCGATATAAATAAAATTGAATAACATCGAAAAAATTTCTAGTAAATTGATTTTTCTTTCCCTCCGAGTGTTAAAGGCGAAGATCAAGATAATGAAATTAGATAGAAAAGAAAAATAGAAAGATCGAATTTTTAAATCAAAAAAAAAAAAAAAAAATCAAAACAATTAAAATATCCGACTACCAACCCTATATAAAAAAAACTTTAAATTAAAAAAAAAAAAAAATTAAAATATCCGACTACCAACCCTATATAAAAAAAACTTTAAATTAAAAAAAAAAAAAAATTAAAATATCCGACTACCAACCCTATATAAAAAAAACTTTAAATTAAAAAAAAAAAAAAAAAATCAAAACAATTAAAATATCCGACTACCAATCCTATATATAACAGATCTTAAATGTAATAGATAACGAATATATTTACGTTTCGTGTTTATGTTTTTCCTCTTGAAAATTTTTACAAAAATTTCGCATTAATAATAATAATAATAATAGGGATGGAAATGGAAGGAAAGGGAAGGAGGAAAGAAGGGCGGATGAGGTTAGAGTCGAGGAGGAGGTGCATAGGGAACATACGGCGGTGGAGAATCCGAAAGAAAAGGGAGAATGTATCCCTTCGAGATAGATAGGTGCGGTCACTGTCAGAGGGGGTTGACAAAGGCTGACCAGGGGTAGAAACATTCAAATGGTAATCGGCGCGCGTCTAACATATACCGACCCTCCGACCCCCGTGCTCGTGCTTAAGGGGGTGCGAGCACCCCCTTGGCATACACCCTGCACATTCGCACCAGAATCAAACCAAATATTGGCAATATCATCCCTGCCATTGCTGTGCACCCTCCTCCCCCCTCTCTCTCTCTCTTTCTCTCTCTCTCTCCGCGACCTGCCTCCTACACTGGCTGGGAAACGATGTCCATTTGAATGCACGATTCCATTACCGGCGACGATATATCGGGCCGAGGATATTATGGGATTAGGATTTCAAGGGAAAGCTGAAAAGAGAACTCGGTCACAAGGAGATACGATGCGTTTCTGCAACTGAGATGATTGTAACGTGTCGTCGATCTTCCGTTTTATTCTCATCTCTTTGTTGTTGAAACGAATATGTATGTATCGTATATCGAATTTATAAACGATTGGATAATAATGATAATAATAATAATTTAAAATAAAATAAATTAACTGAATGAATTTATATTGTATCGAGTAAAGTATGGATTTAATAATTTAATAATTTGTCTATTAATTTATTTAATGGCAATATCGCGTGAGATATTTTAATGCGTTAGGAACAATAAACACGATATTCGAGGGGTGGAAAGAATAGATCGTGTATATCTCACGGCATACGACGCGAGAGAAACGAAAGAAATATTGATACAGCTTTGTTGGAAAAACGTCCAAACAGAGAGGTACAAGCGTCACGCCCCTGATTCTCGTTCTCTCGTGCATTCTGGAAAAAGGAATGCATCTCTACAAAGGGTCACCGAATATCGGATAACGTTGGTCGTTGTTGCGCCATCACTTGTGAAGAATTCTGAATCCTCTCTTCGAAATGGATTTTCGAAATTTCGTGAATTCATTTTCGCTTACCAAAAATACGATAATAATGTAACAATCAAGAAAAAGAGATTCAAACAGAAAGTTTATCTTTTTTTTTTTCCACAATCGAAATTGCTCGTTTCGAAGAAGAAGCTTCGCACATATATAATAAAGTTTCTTGTGTCGATCGCTGCCTGAGAAATAATACCGTTCATCGAGATCCCATGACCCTTCGCGAATAGAATAATGTCTTACACCCTGCGTGTCCAATTCGATGAAACCAATGGGGAGGATAGGACAGCAGCGCGACAGGTGGCCCGTGAAATCAGTGCACGAGTGCGCCGTTCCATCGAGCCTGCCGTTCGATACGGTTCATTAGGAAATTAAGTGTATAATAATTAGAATTGGGGTGCTGATGGGACACGTTAAACGGACGTTTTTTTCCCCCGTTCCACCAACGCATCCACGCGGTCAAGAATAAATGGGCGGATTTCTAATCACGAGAAATGGATACTCGAAGCTTCAAAGCTTTTCTCAAAAATTTTAATATATATAGTTATAATATAACATTACACTTATTCGTTTATTTATTTTTTTCTCATCTTTACAAATAAAAGAAACAAATATAATTATAGCGAAGATCGTAACACAAAGTATACTTTAACAATTACACTTTATTCAACATTCCTTCTAATCTAATCTTTCTAACTACGAACGCGATACAATAACAATACTTTACCACCTGGTTAATAAGAAACGATTCAAATCGATAAACAATAACCTCACCACAATCACAATCATCCCTTCTCTCTCTAACAAAAAAAAAAAATCGAACGAATCAAAAACTCTTCTCGAGAAGGAGCATGACGATGAACGGGATCGAGGGAAGGTGAAAGCATAGAAAAAACGGAACCGCGAGTAGAACACTGGAGTAACAGGAAAAAAAAAAAAAAAAAAAAAACTATACTTCTCCCTCCTGATCCAATCCTCCTCCACGCAAAATATCTCGCCTGGCCGCGAAATGCGCGCTATGCACGCCCGTTGCTGCGCACGCCATTTGCATACCGATGATCGAGCACTCGAGAGGCGGTTGCACATTTTCGCCCGCCGAGTTGCGAGAGGCGCCGGTTGGCTGGCGGGGGGGGCGGGGAACACGCCGGTGTATTTTAGCATTTCACGTTTGTTTCCATTTAAATGGTAATCGAGTTCATAATGTAATTGTATTCACCGCGTAAGCCGGGTCTCACCACACAGTACCCCTCCTCCTCCCTCCCCCTCCCCCCGTTCCCATTGTTTGCATTGTTCTCCTCGCAGCGCGAACAATCCGCGCGCGCGCCAGCCTTTCAGCCTCGCGTACCGCCGAAATCTAAACCCCCTTCGCGCCTCTAAAACTCTCTCCCCCGCCCCTATCTACCAGCTAACAGGGCGAGGTGATATTTTCCCGCAGATACGAGCAGCCCAGTTTATGCGATACTGATGGATATCGGTGTATGTGGAATACCTCCGATACCTCCGATCGGGCTCACACACCATGGAAACTCGATGTGTCACTTCGGCTTCGATCCACGCGAGGACATTTCGTTTTAACTGTTGCGTTCTCTCTCTCTCTCTCTCCTTCTTTCTTCTTCATATTTTTAGTTTCACCTTCGTTCCAAGGAATAACGGGGGGTGAGTTTGAGAATATTCGACGATGTTACAATAATTTTGGAAATGTTGCTTGCGCAATTGGATGGAAGAATTTTGATTTTGGATTTTGGCTCGTTCCGATTATTTTCTCTCGAAATTGATATCACATTTATTGTTCGAAAAAATAATTACCCGTGTTAATTCTGACTGAATGATACCAAAGGATTTCAATGGCATCGATACAGCCCGTGTTGCTCGAATTGTTGAAACAAAATTCAAACCGCAGAGAGTCGATAGATTCGCGAATCGGAATCGTAATGGGCGGCGTTCGAAAATTCTACGTTAACAAAAGATTTTTCCCC